TTTCTTCTTGCCTCTTTCTTCTTACATTTGTGTATGTGTGTTCGTGCGCGCGCGTGTATGTTCCCATGTATGCATATACCGTATGTGCACACGCGCGCACATGCCTGGAGCCTTGATCTCCGTCGTCGCTCTCAGCCCTCCTTGAGCCGCTTTCCCTCCCAGGGCGTCGCCGAAGAGTCCGAACGGCGCCGTGAGCGAGCGCACATGCTTGTCGGAGGCCTCGCGGACCGCCCTCAGGACCCGGAGAGGTAACCCGAGCCCGCCCGAAGGATATCATGACGGCCTCGGACGCTGCCGGGGCCGCGGTTCCACCCGGGAGAGTGATGGCTCGCCTTTTTCTCTTGCTTTTCAAAAATTGTTTTGTAGCTTTTTAAACTCATGGAAATAAAAGAAAAAAAATATATAAAGGCGAAGGAGGAGAGGCGGAGGATTCACGCACGCTCGCAGGGCCGGCCTCGGGGACGCCTGCATTCTCTCCCCCTCGCCTCCTCTTCTCTCCTGCCTCCCGCCTGTCACCTGCTTCATCCGCACTCCCTCGCTCCCCCTCCTCCCCTCCCTCCCCCTGCCACCGCTCCCCCCACCCCCCTGCCGCCTCGCTCCCCCCACCCCCTGCTCGCTCCCGCTCCTTTACCCACCTTTTTTTCCCCTTATCTCTCCCTTTTTTGTAAACGCGCTCACCCCGTCTTCTTTCCGTCCGCCCACTTTTTCCTTCCCACGTGGCCGGGATCGAGGCGACGGTCGGGCGGCCAGCGGGCCCTCTTGGCCACTCGGGCCGCTCGGCGTGAATGCACGGCGCTGCACGAATCCGGCCGCGTGGATTGCGACCTGGGGAACCAAGGACACGGAAGCCGACACGGAATATATACTATATATATATATATATATAGTGTATATTATATGTATGTATATATATATATATATATGTGTGTGTGTGTGTGTGTGTGTGTGTGTGTGTGTGTGTGTGTGTGTGTGTGTGTGTGTGTGTGTGTGTGTGTGTGTGTGTGTGTGTGTGTGCATTGTTAATTTTATATTATATACTATATGCATTATATATATATATATATATATATATATATATATATATATATATATATATATATATATACATGATACATGATACATATGCCACACACACACACACACACACACACACCACACACACACACACACACACACACACACACACACACACACACACACACACACACACACACACACACACACACACACACACACATATATGTATGTATATATATGCATTAGATATAGATGTGTGTGTGTGTGTGTGTGTGTGTGTGTGTGTGTGTGTGTGTGTGTGTGTGTATGTGCGTGCGTGCCTGCGTATTATATATGTATATATGTATACAAGTAGATCCATCCACAGTTATACTAATAAAGCATGCTCGGCGCCTGGGCAGCGGTCGTCGAGGGCGCAGCGTGCATACCCGTTGTGTCAGCCAGCGGGCGCAGTGCTTGTATCTTCTGAAGAACAGTGCGCCCATGGCCCGAGGGCGGGGGAGGCGGTGGCGCACGGGTGTGGGTGCGCGTGGCGTGTGGTACGGGCGGAGACGGGAGGGAGGGCGGGGGGCAGGGGCGTTAGGATGGCAGGTTCCAGTTTGCGCTGCCCTCATGAGGCAACGAGCGGTTGCAGGCTCCCCCCCCCCTCCCCCCGCGCCGTGCAAGTCCCCCCCCTGGTCCTTCCCCTCCCCCTTCCCCCGCCAACCAGCTCCGCCCTGATCCGACCCGCTTTGCCTGCTTGCTCGTCCCCTGGCTCGCCCGCGCGTGGTCGAGCTGTACCCGGGACCACGACCCGCACTCCCTCTGGGTCTCATGGTTGTTCGGGTTGAGGAAAAGAAGTGATTGTTACGGGCAGCTTCTTTTTTTTTCCTTTCTTTCTTTTTTGGATTTCATGGTTGTGGAAGCTGAGCCCGTTGAATATATTCGCTGAAGTAGAATTTGCTATCATGGTTGTGAAGGTTTGGGTTGGCGGGGCAGAGACAGACTTTTTTCGAAGGAAGAACTGGGAGGTATTTGGGCTTCTCATGGCGTCGTCCAACGCAGCCAGTGTTGCCAAGGGACGACGACTCCTGCTGCGAGACTGCCTGTATGTGATGGTGTGTGAGTGACTCGGCTAAAGTGGCGAGGCAGACCGGTTTCATACAAGGGTGCTTTTTTCTAAGGGTCCATGCTACTGGGTTATGAAATCTGACTCACAGGGTTGTTTCAAACGTTTCAAGAACCTGTCATCGTCTTTTTGGCACTGTTGCGAGCGCCGTCTGCCTTTTTTGCGTATTTTGGTGTTCACGCGGGAGGTTATTTGTGTTGGGCGGAAATTTCGCTTCCGGCACAGTCCGAGGGCGGGCTGGCGGGCGCTGGCCTCCGCCGAGCCTCATGCACCGCGCGTCATCCTACTCGTTCATTAGCGTTGGAGTCCTCAGGGTCATTTCATTCCTTTATTGACATGTGTCATTTTACACCCTACGTTGTGTCTCAAGTTGTATTTTAAAAGTGGCTTTTTACATGGAAGCACGTTGATTCTTGCCATGATTGGCCTTTTTGTTGGTTAGTATTCAGCGATTTCAAGGGGAATTTCACACAGAATGCATCGATTATATTCTTTTATATAGAGTGTATGAACCGCATTGCTCATGTGATAAATCATAATCAGATGATATTTTAGAATGTACTTGTAAAACGGAAAAGTGTTCTTAGTCGATAATAGACCTTAGTGAATCAAATCATTGAGCCTTCATCACTTACAATAGTGTTTATTCTCTGGTGGCTGGTGAAGATTCTGTGCTCTAGATATATATGCCTTGTGTGTATTGGACGCGAGTATGTTGTATGTGAGCACACGAGCTTCATTGCAGACATGTTGGGTGTTACTAATCCAAGTTTGGGGCAGTATTTTGTTATTTTCAGTTTGTATATACACAGTTTAATCTTGTTTATATTTCTCTGTTTTATCAGTATCAGTGCCCGTTTTTTAAGCAGCAGAAGCTTCTGTGAAGTTTCTTATCCCTTTCCCTTTTCCAGGTACTTAGGACCACTTTGCTTCTCTGAATGTAATTCAACACCCTAATGTATTCGGGGTGCGTGGAAGAGCCGGAAGGATTGTATTCAATAGTACTTACAGTTTTATGCTCCGATTAGAACTGGTATTTTGTTGATTTTAAGATGACAGGCTTTAGATCTTGCCAAATTTGCTCGTTTAGGGGTCTTATTGTTAGTGCATTTGTAATTTGTCTGTATGATTTATGATTAAGCAGAAATTTACATCTATAAATGAAACCTTTAGTTCTAATCAGGGAGAAAGTGGTCCATTAGGTTTGTAACGAAGTCGTGCAGGGAAAATGCCGTACATTCCATTTTATTTAGCATCTATTAATTTTATAATTTTTTTTTTTTTTGTAATCGCCTATTTATCCAACTTTATTTCGTGTTCTGGCAGCTATATATGTTGCATTTCATGTACGATATTTATGTGAATTAGCCCCGAATAAGGTTTACTGTGTAGGTTTACATCTCACTAAACCTGTTGTAATAATTGTTAATTCTCCTCCAAAAATATTATCCTCTAATTTTAGGTATAATATATTTCGATGACCATATAACTGCCAAATTGTCTGTGAAGGTAATATTGGTTATTCTGTTATTTATCCACTTGGTAACTGCACATTGAGGGGTTGGTGTTTGTGCGCCACGAGGGGGGCACCTTTGCACTTTTTCTCAGTTCTTTTGTTAAGTACTTTTCTTCATTTAGTTAGATTTAAACCGTGTAGTTTAGGCTAGAGTATTCTTGAGTATAAAAAAGATATTCATAGAATCTTATTGAACTAATGTTAATAGGCTATGGAGGAAGGAGGTTTTCGTGAACTAATATGAATGCAGGGTAAAACCTTGAGACCAAATTTCCTGTTTGTGGACACTGAACGAATGGACATCACACACTCATTTTCTCTCTCTCTCTCTCTCTCGCTTTCCTTTCTTTCTTTCTCCTTCTCTTACATTCACGCACGCATACCTACACACAAAATGAAACTTTGGTGCTTAAAAGATGTAAGCATAAATACTTTAGTGTTTGAGTGAGTTATCTGTTATTTTCCGTAGCGTTATCTTCCTTTCACTTGTAATAATGTTCACAATAGGAATTTGAGTCGCACGGCCAACTACATACTAATTGCCCTCCTTTATTTTTCCTTTGTACTTTGTAACCGTATTCTAATAGTCTCCAAGCAATTCTTCCATTGAGGGCATAATCAGGTGTTCAGCATAAACTTTTTCCATCTTTTGTGTGACTGCAGTAGGCTTAACGAAAGAACGTTCATGGTATGTACTTTTTATAAATTGGCATTACTGTTACTTAAATTTGTGTAATTGTTATCAGATATGTTATACACCATCTGTAGGACTCATTCCCAGACAAATGTCAGTACAGTATTTTGATAAATGTAATAAAATAGTTTTGAGGTACAGATGTTTCCTATGTAAAGCAATATTTACTAATAAAATAATTGTACATCAAGTTGATTGATTTTACCCAGTGTTTTTGCTCTAATTGAGGTAAATGAAGAACACTGTATTTGACACAATTTTATTTAGAGTGCCACCCATTGAGTATAACAAACAAATTCAGTTTTTGAAGAATGTCACATCTGCGGAACTGACTGGAGTGTGTCTCAGTGGGAGTGTGCCGCAGTGTATCCGCCTGGCTGTGTGGTGGTGGTTCTGCCTGGCGATGATGATGGTGATGTTTGGCGATGGGAAGGGGTGACGCAGGGCTCAGCCAAACGGTCATCATATGCCGCGGACATTACATGTCCGCTGCATCACAACCTTCCCACGCACTGTAGTGTGGCTGACTCACCTCACACTCTGCTCACCAGTCACCCACAGCTCTGACACCAGGGAAGGTGGTGGTCACGGTGGGTGGCCGGTGGGCAGCCTACACTGGCAGCTACAACATAAGGGCCCATGACGGGTGCAGTACATCCGCCATG